GGTCTTGTAAGATAATCACCTCTTTAATGTTTTACCTTTTAATTATTATAATAGGAGTTTTTACCCTTTCAACAGTTACAGTGGGGGCCAAGTTTTTAATACATAAAACTTGGGGGACACAATTTAAGCTTTAATGAGTTTTAGGGGGGACATAATTTAATCCACTACAATGCCGAAGACATGCTGTACAATAAAAAGCTGGTGGCATACCAGGTACACTTACTGCATTCTTGTAAAAATACAATTTAGCCAAACTGTACATTGTACCCATGTGTTGGGAAGGAAATGAGGTCATAGATGGGTTTTCATTTTCAATATTACATTCATCTCTTTTGAATTTTACACCTTTTCTTATCTTTAAACTTTGTTCATGTCCATATAGCATTTCCTCGTTTTCCAAAACGCTTTCAAGATGATGCCATCACTCTCAGCTTTGTGACAGGCACAGAAATTTAATTCATATAGAAGTTCCTTACATGAGTCTTCTAAAGAGACTGAGAACACCCTTTAAGAGAGCCTGTAAAATGCCCAGTGAAATTATACACGATTCTTCACTCCAAGGAAGTACCCAGGCTTGGCACTCTGTGCTACTGTCCAAAGTCCTAGGCTAAACCCCGCCTCTCAATTCAGCTCAGGAAGCTTCACTGATCACCGAATCTGCTGTTGTTGTTCCTTATTTGTAAAATGGGAGAACAGTGAAGATGTCAATGGGTACCAACCTCTCTGGCAGGCAACTAATCGCTAGCCTATCCCAGTTGTGGGGCAAGTCCTCCTGCATTAAGCTCTACAGTACTTGGTAACTCACATGATCCTCTTGACAACCTTCTGTGGTAGGTGCTACTATCCCCAGTTTACACATGCAGTTTCTGGGGTTGAACCCATATCGTTCCCCCACATCTCACCACCTCTCCCTACTTTGCAGGGAATCTCAGTGTTAGAAAAACATTTGCGAATACTGCCCCCTGGACGTTCAAATCTGCTAACAAACCTGCACAACCAATTTCCAAAAGAAGTACCACTGACATTAAACAATTATAACCAGGGCTGCAGGAGCCCTTCTTTCATGATTTCTCAGAGGTGGTTGAACTGACATGAGATAGCTCCTCACAGAGAATATCTATGGTAACAATTTGCAATTCAGGGACACAATGTAAATCCACACAAATGGTAGCTTTGGCATGTTATATTACGCCCAGACACAGCATGTTTTCAAACATGCAGTCAAAGAGTTTTAGTCCTTGCCGTAGCCAGTTCCCGCCTCCTGGGCCCTCAGTTTTCCCATTGGATCAAGTGATCTTTAATTTAAAGCCCTCCTGATTTTTTGATTCTATGAAAATTAATTCTG